GGGGACAGGTGTGGGTGGACGGAATGGAAGAGGAGGGGTCCATGGAGGGGGGGAGGCGGAAGGGCCCATGGGGAAGTACCTGGCATGTGGCATCTGATCCTGTCCCTTGGCACTCAGGCTCCCTTCTCCGATGGTGCCTGTAGTCTGACCTGGCAGTGGCGTAGGGAAGCATTCTAAGGAATTGAAGCGGCACCTCGAATTCTACAGGACCTGGTCTATAAGTCCACACTGGTGCTCCTGCACCATCCAGCTTTTCCACAGTATCTTTCCGTTATCCTGCCCTTCAGCCAATTCCTGTTTTAGTTCGATCCAGTTTTCCACAAAAGTCTGTATTGCTTTCTGCCTGGCCTCCTGGTCAGGGATCGTTGCCCTAGTCTCTGCCAGTTTTCTGCTGGGTTTCAGCATGTTGGCCTGGATAACCTCTGCTAGTTCAGATTTGGCTTGGTGGACGGCGTCTTGCCTTTCAGCTGAACACCTTATTCTCCATATGACCATGAGAAGGGCAAGCCTCATGTTTAAAGAGGTTGACTTGAAAGGGTGTCCACCCTATCGGATAATTCGTGCGTTTTCCTAGGAGAATAAGGGCAATGTTCCATTGGAAAGGCGATCCTGTTATGGCATGCCACAATGCATCCCACCATTGCCACACCTGCATCGCCATCGGACATGCCAAAAGGCAGTGCTCCAAGTCTCCGCGTCTGCGTTGGGTGCTGGATCCACAGTGGGAGCAAATAGGGGACAGGATGCCTGCGTGCTCTGGGTTAGACCTTGAGGTTACCAAGTCCAGCGTTGGGAGGCATCGGCGTGTGATCTGCCATTGCAGGGCTGTGTGCAATGTCGGCATTATGTGTACATAGGTGGCCCAGGGTATGCAATGCAGATGCATTTTGCGTACTGGCAAGCCACTTTTCCACCGGGGTTTGGACCACCAGTGTGGAGACATGTGGTGTGGTGTGTGTGCATGCTTGTATCCTTGAATACTGCCATATTGGTGTGGGATCTTGCCCTTTCCACTCCCATTCGTCTGGGTCGAATAGGGGCGCACACACTGGGGTGGCCATTTCGTAGGCAAAGTATCCTGTTTCGTCTGACCCCACCACCGTCACCCTAGTCAGTTCTTCCACCGGGAGTGCGCAACCATGATCATTGATACCCCTTTTCAGAGACGCCCACCGCACTCCTGCCACGTCCGGTTCGTAAGCTTGTAATTGTACCTCTTGACCAGTGCAGTGGCCCACCTTAAAGGTGGTCATTGGGATGGTGTTCCGGTCGCTGCGTATGACCCAGTCCAGACTGCGGATGGATGGACCGTCATGCAGGGCAATCACCCATGCGGGTGGGATCACCATGTGAATAGGGTCCAGCTTCTCTTGGCTGGTCCTGACGCGTGACAGGTTCGGCCGCAGCTGCTCGACTGTTTTCCACCTTCCCCTCTGGCTATCCCCGCTGGGCGTTCACACACCCGCGTGCATGGTGTCGTGAACGCCTGAAGAGCCCCGGCTCACAGGACCCCTTTTCACTGACCAAAATCTCACGAAGTTAAACTGGCGGCCACGGTCCGTGCTGGACTCTGGCCAGCTTGTTTGTGTGTCGCTGTTATTTCTGATACTAGTGTTGTGCCCTTCTGACACCCACAACTTTGCGGCAGGCCACTGCTAGACATGCACTTGCGTGCTACCCCGGGGCTAGCACCCAGGTACTAATGGCCATATGTACCGGCACACAACAAAGTTGAACGGACAGCCACAAGGTTACGGGTTTACATGTAGCATTTTGTGCTCAGGTTATGTGATGGATATTTCCGAAATTTAAGCAGTATCATAAGGGCGCACTGCAAAAATCTCTATTTGCAGGCACGGGACAGCAGGGCAATTATCCTAAATGGGAAAACAAACTGATCTATGAGACGGTGGATCAACAGTATGGACACACAACTACAGGTAAACAGATCTGATTCAGTGGTTCGAGACCTGTTGGATACAACAACGTCAGTGGCTATGCCTTTTCCAGTTGTGGAAAAAAACAAAACAAAAAAAAACTGGGCACCCACAGCCCTCTCACTGTACAGAGGCTGAGTAACCGATATTGTTTACAGATTAGTACATACTATTGCCCGTGACCGCTATGTTGAGGCCCAACTTGAGGGGCAATTCATCCTGGACAAAACAGGTATCCATGGTCATAATTAATCACAGTGTGACCGTCATGTTGCTAGCATAAGACTGATCGTATGCACCTCCTATGACTGCAGGCCAGTGGATTATTAGCTAGCAACCTGTTCTCTCTTCTTTTTGCTGTTCTCCTTTCTTTTCCCTCTCTTGATGACGTTGTGTTTCCATCTCTTGCTGAGAGTACTGTCATTGCTCACTAGCAAAGAAATCAGCAGATTGAGTGAACACATTCATAATTTGACTTTGGTGACTGAATATGATTGTTGAATTTCCAGCATCTCACTCTACAAGCAAGACTCCATTCCGGGTCACAGAGGTCGGGATTGCGCTTTGGAAGGTCGCCGTGGAGCTTCATGGCAAGATTGGCAAGAATTTGATGCCACTGCAATGAGATAAGTAACCAGAAAGTGTTTCATGTGAGATACTGGTGAGATTTCGGGACAGCTTTGCGATATCATGATGTAATAATCTAATCAGTCTTTTGGCAGAACCCTTTCAACGGATGTGATTCAAATAATCAAATTATTGTGTGCTAATATGTGGTAATACAAGTGTATGTAGCAAAGTGGACCTATTGTTTGCGTAGGGACCCAAGGGCTCAAGGAGTACCCTGGTCCCAAGGTCCCAAGGTGTGGCATAATTGGAGTTCCAAGGTAGGCATGGGGGATGGTAATGGGAAAAGGGAGTTTCAACTGGTCCCTAAATTTGAGAGGAAGGGTCAAGACATTTTGAAAGGTGGCTGCACAAGGGAGTTACAGGTTTTATTGCATCCTCATGGGCCATGGTTCATATTCACACCTGACGGTAAGTCACTTCAAGTGTGGAACTATGACAGCGGAACACGGGTTGGTACTTGGGTAACCCCCGGTGTGGATGATGTTCTATATGCACGTATGATGCATGTAAACAACTGGATTTTGGTGAAGAGGAAGAAAAGTTTTTGTATCTACGAAAATCAAGGTAACAACTTGCGGTGCATAAAGGTGCTAACAGGGGAGACTGGTGATGAGGTTGCATTTGGAGCATGCGTCCATCGGTCCTTGCCTTATCTTTTGACTTGTTTCAATCAGCCGAACTTCTATCTGTGGGATTTACTCGAAGGTGGTTATCAAGATGTATACCGCGTGAAATTTCATCCGACAGATTCCGAGATATTTGCAAGTATATCAGGCGATGACACAATCAAGGTCTGGGACTTGCCGACGAGGTCGGTTATCAAAACGCTCATGGACACCGGCAAAGGGTATGTAGAAGGATTGGCATTCTGCGACAGAGCCCAAAAGTCACTTGTGATCTCACACCGCTCCCAAGGAGGAACTGTACGCATTTGGGACTACAGGAGGGGAGTTCGCATGGCAAGATGGGAAACACACAAGGAGAACGTCTGCCAGGCCCTTTTTCATCCCCGTATGCCTTACATCTTCACTGCATCAGCAAATGGAGAAATAAAAGTGTGGGAAGAATCGAGCTACCAGCAGGTCTTATCCTATTCCTACGATAAGCTTTGGAATATGAGCCTCTGTGAACACTCTAATATTCTTGCTCTTGGTGGCAAGGGGGAGTTCCGTGTATTAGAGGTAGTTACCCAAAAGGTAAAAAAGAGAAGGGAAGGGCTTGCCTGTGCTATGGTGGGATTGGAGAAGAAGATTGAGCAAGAGATGACAAAAGTTGAGCTGAACTGCAAGAAAGTGATTGAGGAATTGAGAGCAGAGCATCAGAGGAAGGAGATGATCGTAGCAGAAAGGTTTGTGCAATTGGAGACACAGATGAAAACAATGGTGGAGAGGCTTGAAAAATCAAAACTGACAATTCAGGAGGTGGAAGGCAAACTAGCACAGGAGGTCAGCGCACGAAAGATGTCCGACGAATGCAGAGCACATCTAGCGGATAGGGTATCTCAACTAGAATTTGAGAGGGACACACAGGCAGAGAAACTCAAGGAACTAGAGAAAAGATTGGACACAGAGTTTGTGGATGCGTGCACAACGGACAGTCCTTTGCTTCTCCGGGAGTTTTCAGGCAAGGAACTTCGAGATGCAACATGTAATTTTGATGTGAAGTGTGCCGAAGGGGATCCAAAGGAACAGATCTACGTAGGCAAGCTTGGCGATGGGACTCTGGTTACGGTAAGACGGTTGAGGGATGCAAATACAAATGCAATTATTCCTCCTGCCAAGTTCAAGTCAACTGTTGTCGACAGGTTAAGATTGCTCCGGCATCCCCATCTGGTGACCCTGCTAGGTGTCTGCTATGAAGAGAGCAGTCTGGTTTATGAGCACATGGCATGTGGAAATCTGAAGGATTGGATAATTGCATGTGAAGGAAAACGCACACGAGGACTTTTGCCATGGTATGTGCGCTTCCGTATCATGGCTGAGATTGCTCGAGGTTTGTGCTTTCTACAGTCTGATCCATTGGCCTCTGGTGGTGGTCCCGTCATCCATCGTGCTATCAGACCAACAAACATCCTGTTGGACAACAACTTCGTGGCAAAGATTGGTGGCATAGACAAGGCACTGCTTGACTCAGAACCAGATGATGGACTACGGCAGGGAGGGAACAAAGTGTCGGAACTTGGAGGGAATTACTCTGACTACGTTGCCCCAGAGTGTTGGAAGTCCGGACTTTTCAATGAGAAGACGGATATTTATTCGCTTGGCATCACTCTTCTGGAAATGCTGACCGGAAATGTTTCAACTGCATTTGAGGTGATTGATGATGTTATTGAAGACAACACAGCTTTTGAGAGTGCGCTCGATGCAAATGCAGGCTTGTGGGATGTGAATTTGGTTCGGGAAGTGGCCAGGTTGGGGTTGAGCTCCGCTGATCGCAACAGACGTAAACGGCCAAGCATGATGACACCTGACATAGGCATTCTACCTGTGCTGGAGGGAATTGCAAGGAAGGTAGAACTTGCAGAGACTGGAAAGGACACTTAGAAAGGACGTCTGGCGCATACCCATCTGGCACATACTGAAGCGGTGGGGCTCATGTCAGCACAACCGGTTTTTATTTATTTATTTTAATCCGGCCGCCGGTCTCTGCTAAGGGAGTGTAATCCCACCAACCCCCTTCAGCAGGTCCACTGGCTTTGCTCTGGACTATTGGTGAAGAGCTTCACCTGCAGGAAACCGCGTGCAGCGTCCCAGTTACAACCATGGTCTCAGTTCTGTCTCATTCTGACTCTTCAGTATTCCAGAAGTAACTCTGGCTGGCTTGACTACTCCTGTGCCGCTCGCGGACTGGTCGGGAATTCCGTGCCTGGCTTCTGCTTCTTCGTAACTGCTATGGCGAGGTGGTCCTGCTTGTTGTTGTCAAAGTGCAAGTCCAGCACTAACTCTGGCTGGCTTGACTACGCCTGTGCTTCTCGCCGACTGGTCGGGAATTCCGTGCCTTGCTTCTGCTTCTTCGCTGCTGCTATGGCGGTCTTGCTTGTTGTTGTCAAAGTGCAAGTCCAGCAGTAATTCTGGCTGGCTTGACTACTCCTGTGCTGCTCGCCGACTGGTCGGGAATTCCGTGCCTTGCTTCTGCTTCTTCGCTGCTGCTATGGCGAGGTGGTCCTGCTTGTTGTTGTCAAAGTGCAAGTCCAGCAGTAATTCTGGCTGGCTTGACTACTCCTGTGCTGCTCGCCGACTGGTCGGGAATTCCTTGCCTTGCTTCTGCTTCTTCGTTGCTGCTATGGCGAGGTGGTCCTGCTTGTTGTTGTCAAAGTGCAAGTTTCACTAATTGAGTTGAATTGACACCATCTGTTTCTCATTTTCACCCTCCTTACCAACAGGATGACATTATGCCATTGTAGGAGTGTCACTGAGTGAGATGAGGCGTGGCCCGATGTTAATGACACTCGATGAAATTGCATTTCACATGCGTTCAAGTTGGTCTTCCTTGTTTAAATGGGGGTCAAAATATCATGGAGCCAAAAGGGGGGCCGATTGGAAGAATGGCAAGTTGGGTATAATAAGCTTTTCAAGAACCGAATTAGGGTGTGGCCTGCGCAAGAGGGCCCGTCAGAAAAAGAGTAGTAGTCACATATGACATCGGAGCTGGAAGCTGAGTCCCATAGAGCATCTTTGAGGCTCTGTGTGACGTCTAGGTCCAGGACTGATAAACATGCACATAGGGTATCACAAGCTGCCTTGTTTACCTCTTATTGTCAAAAGATTGTAGAACCCTGCCTGCAAGGTTCTCTTATTGTCATCGGTCACCGTGTCAGATTCAACCTGATAAGGGGCTTGAAGTTCCCGGCTTGGGCCACGTGGGCCATGTTTACCTCTGCTTCGCTCGACGTGAGTTGGTGGGTAAATGACAGTCACGTAGATGGCTGCTTGAATTTCATCTTCTATTCTCTTGCAAGTTGCAACTGCTGCACAATGATAAGAAGAGTAACTGCTGAGATTGAAGAGAATTCCGATAGCTAGTTCTACTGTGGCTGTTTGCAGGTGGATTTGCACACATTGCCGTTCTCGTTGAAATGCGGCGACTGCGAGGCACTTGGAGCCAGGAGTTTCGTCACAGAGACTTCTAAGATGTATGGATATAACTGCAACTGGTGTCAATTTCTTCAACACTGTGCATGGTGGGTTTTGGGTGGATGATCTCCCCCAGCCAAAATCAAAACGAAACGGTGCCCTGGCGGCTCGGCAAAACTTGCCGCGCAGGGCAGCAGGGGGTGTCCCGGCTCGGCATCGATAGCTGGGCCAAGTACTGGTGGTTTAAACTGAAGAAGAAGAGGGGGGGGGAAACACCTCACCAAGTCCCTTTTTCTGAGAAATGGCATTGAAGGTAGTGGGGAACACCTCACCAAGTCCCTTTTTCTGAGAAATGACAATTCAAGGGTGTGGAAGGGATATGTTCTGTTGCCTCTCTGACCCCTTTAAACTCCTATAGGGGGTCTGTCTACTAGCCTGTTAACCCTCTTTCAGTTTTCCCCTTCGACTGACAGTGTCTGGTTTTCCTGTAGCTCCCTTAATACGCTAATCTTAACAGATGTTCGAGGGGGGGGGGGTTGTGCGGAGGGAGGTTGTGGTAGGTGTTGTCTTCCTTAGTGTTTTTAACTCTTTTGAAAACAGGTTTGTTTACTCGCTGGGTTGGCTTCCGTTGCTCTGTGGATTATGCAGAGCCCCTTTGCCAGCGTCGAGTTTGACTGCATTTTTGAATTTTTTGTACAGCCATATTGAATCTGGTCAGGTATTCAAGTTAAATGCACTTTTAAGTTCGAACTTTGAAGTTTTAACCCATTTATCTATACTCTTTATAAAGGGAAGAGCGGGTCTCGCGTGACGCTGTCCCGCAGCCGGTCTGTCTGTGTTGGGAAAGAGTTGGGCGGCAAGGCGCGGGCCCAACAGGAACTTCGCGAAATCGGAGGGTTTTTTTTGGGTCTGCCGTGCGCCAGTTCGAAGGGTGTCGCCGCGCGGTAGAAGCGTTTCGGAGCGCGTTTTTTTTTGGGCTGTTGTGTGGCGGTTGGAAGGGTGTCGCCCGGTGCAATTTTTTTTTTTGTCGTGCAACTGTGTTTCCCCGTCATTTTTTCGTTGGGTGGCGGGCGGCGGGCCGTTGTGCGAAGGAAAGAGATGTTCAACGGTTGGAATTCCATGTTCTAGCCGAAGATTCATTGGATGTTGCTCATCCTATCGATGGAAGTAGCATGGCGCGAGCCGCGAGGTCGGAGAGTT